TTCAAAGCAGAATGCAAACTGCAGCTTTGCAGGTAATCCACAGAAGACTCAGTTCATGGACAGTTAGATCTTCAAGCAAGGATAGGGTTATATTCAACTCAGGGTTCACAGGGAATCACATTGCGGGGTGTTTTCCCACACATCTCATTGAACTGGGAGTACATTTTTGGAAAGAGACTTCATTAGGATTGCAAAACAGGATCTCAGTACTTAAGTGTCCCAGACTGTGTGGCTGGGCACTGCTATGAAACATTTCAGACAAGTTAGATTATGAGCACTTGTCAAAATCTTATCTCATACTTGATAGCAAGGGCATTAGGAAAAAGCCCTGGCTCCTCAAGCATCCCTAAAGGGGGATCTCCTCGGAATAAATAATTTTAGACAAGGTTGGCAAACTATTTCATTATTTTTAGTCACATTGTCGCCTTTTAATAATTTGGTTGTTTAAACTTGGGTCATAATATCCGGGGGTCATTTCCCTGAAATGAGTATGGGTGATGTTCTAGAAATATTGAGTAATGCAGTGCTGCCTGTCTTGAATGTGGGTACTTTTCCTTTTCAGTTCTTCCTCTTGGCCAAGACATTCTAGGGGGCTACCTTTGCTACATTTAGAATTTCCTCTTGGGCTTTTTATTTTTGTGTGCTAGGATAATTGAGATTACTAATGAGTCAGTTTTAATTGTCTTGCGTTTTAATTTTTACATTTTCATAGGCTGTGGATATCAGACAAAATATTATTAACACAACTATTAACACTGTTACTGATAAGATATGTATACTATTGATACCATTTCCTGAAATGTATTTCCAGCATCAAGAAATATCAGATAGCCCTGGCTGGTTTGGCTCAGTGGTCAGAGCATCGGCCTGCGGACCAGTCGTGGGTTTGATTCCAGTCAAGGGCACGTGTCTTGGTTGCAGTTTGGCCCTGGCCCTGGTCAGTGTGGTGTGGGAGGCAACCAGTCGATGTGCCTCTCTCACATCGATCTGTCTCTCTCATCCCCCCTCCCACTCTATCTGAAGATAAATGAAAAAATATCCTTGGGTGAGGATTAAAAAAAAAAAGAAAAGAAATGTCCCATAAATTCCAAAGAAAATTAGTTTTGTGGTAGCTATTTCATGTTGTCCATGGACCTTTGTTTTCCTGTTCTGATGTGGCATGTCAGTTATCCTTGTCATAAGCCCTCTCTTATACCTACTTGCTGTAAGTGAGTTCTCTTCTCCGACATGACGTTATTTGGTATCCTATGGTGGTGGATCAACCACTCCAAACCCTCGGACAGTGGAACTGCTTCAGGCTCTGCCAGCAGGGAAGGCAAAACCATCCCCAGTATGTGTGCTCATTCCCCTGGGTACAAACGTCTGGCCTGTCCAGGATAGAAGGGCTCAATGTAGTCAATTTGCCATTAAGTAACTGTTGGTCCCCTGGAAAGAATGCTGCTGTATTAGGTAACTCAGTGTTCGTCGCTGAAGCCAGCATGTTGAATCTGCAGTGGTAGCAGCAGCTAGATCAGGCTTGAGCAGTCAGAGTCCACACAGATGGCCCCTGGGCAGTCTCCACCTCTGCCACTATGGCTTTTCTTCATATGCCCTTCATGTCAGCACTTTGGTTCAAGTCAGCTTCCATTATTATCATTGTGTATCTTTAAATATTATTCACAGATGAGAATATAATGTATTATGATACATATTGTTGTTTGCTTGTCAGGTTACCTACATTAATTCACTTCCCCAAACTGAGAAAATTCCCTCTCTCTCTGAATACATTCACTCATCAAGTGAATCCTCTTCTTTCTTTTCCTTTCTTTCTCTCTCTTCCTTGGAGACATCCTCCTGGAGCCTCCTTTACCTGTATTACAGTCTGGGCTGGCTACCCCTCCTTTGGGCTCTTGTATGGGGGCTTCCTGAGACATCTGTTCACCATCCAGGCTTGAAGACAGGTTAGCAAAGGGAGAGAGAAAATTGTAAAAGTCAGAAGCATTAGCTGGAGTTTGTTACCCTGCCTAGCCACTCTTTGGGTTATTAGGCATTTCCAAGGCAAATGTTGTTTGGGTAGAATTATGAGGTCTCATTTTATCAATGTTTCCAGTATGACAGAGGATACTGAAATTGTATCCTCTTCTTTAATTATTACAAGTAATTACTTTTACTTATTTAAGTATTTCCCTAGGTGAAAGATGTGCATTTTTAGAAACTCAGTATTTTTATGCACTAGTTATTTAAAATATTTCAGAGAAGTTTTGAAAAGCCATAGTTGTTGGTTTTTTACCTTGAAAAGTACTAATATTTACAAAGTTGTGCAAGTGGGGAAACTTAAAATGTTCATGTACAATAATTAGACATTTATAGCACAGAGATTGAGTTTTCTGTCTCTGGCCACCAACAGTCTGGACTGAAAGCCTAGTTACATGATCTTGGGCAAATCAATTAACTTCTCTAAGCCTCAGTAGATTCTTCTATAAATTGGGGATGATGATGATGATGATGATGATAATACCTGCCTTACAGTCTTAAAATAAAAAGTTAATGCATCTAAAATGCTTAGCACAAAACCAGACACATAGAAAAGAACAATTAGTACACAGTATTTATTACATGCTTGTGCTAAAATATAAAGCAGCAACAAAAGTCTAAATATGAAAAGTATAGAACAATTCCGTTTTTAAGAGATTTGGACATTCTAAAGACGCACTGAAATCATTCATTCATATATTCATTTATAAAACAAGTATTAAGACTTGCTATGCTACAAGTATTGTGGACAGTGGTGGAAATACATAAATAGTAGGAAGGAAGGGAGGGAGGAAGAGAGAAAGAGGAGGGGGGAGAGAGAGAGGGAGGGAGGGAGAGAGAGAGAGTGAGGGAGAGAGAGGGAGAGGGAGAGAGGGAGAGGGAGAGGGAGAGGGAGAGAGAGAGAGAGAGAGCGAGAGAGAGCGAGAGCCTGTGCAGTAGCACAAGGGCCAAGAGGTGGAAGCAACCCAAACAACTTCACGAGCCATAAGGAAAATGCAAATTGAAACCACAATGAGCCCTGGGTGGTGTGGCTCCATTAGTTGAGCATTGCCGGCTGCACCAAAGGGATGCCAGTTTGAATCCTGGTCAGGGAATATGCCCAGGTGGTGGGTTTGGTCCCTGATCGGTTGATGTTTCTCTCTCCCTCTCTCCCTATCTAAAGTCAATAAAAACACACTTAAAAAAATGAGATACCACCTCACACCTGTTAGAACGGCTATCATCAATAAGACAAGAAATAACAAGTGTTGGACCGGATGTGAAGAAAACCCTCATACATTGATGGGAATATAAATTGGTGCAGCCTGAGAGTCAAAGAATTAAGAACAACTACCAGTTGACTCAGCAATCCCGCTTCTGGATATCTCATCTACCTGAAAAATTTGAAAACACTTATTCGTAATGATATATAAGGTGAGGCAAAAGTAGGTTTACAAAGTACGTATGCATAACCAACGGACAAAGACAACACTACTGTGTGTGGGGGGAATGGGAGGAGGGTGTCCATGGGGGAACATTTGTAACAAAATAAATTAATTAGAATAAGGGAAAAAAGAAAAATAAATAAAATAGCTGTGGAGAAAGGTTTACAGTTGTGAGTACACAAAAAAGTTTTCTTGTATTATTTTCCTTACAAACAACTGTAAACCTACTTTTGCCCCATGCTGTATGTGCCCCCATGTCCACTGCAGCATTACTCACAATAGCCAAGACATGGAAACAACCTACTGTTTTTAGACAAATGACTGGATTAAGAAGATATCCTACATTACTGTGGAATCCTATTCGGCTATAAAAAAGACTAAATTTATTTCACAGCTTTCAACAACAGGAATGAATCTTGAGAATATCACGCTAAGTTAAATAAGTCAGATGGAAAAGAACAAAAACCGCATGATTTCACTTATATGTGGGATATAAAACATAAAGCAATAAATGAACAAACAAAGTAAATTCACAGACACAGACAACAATATAGTGGTTACCAGAGGGAAAGGGGAGTTGGAGGGAAAATGAACAGAATAAACGGGAGACAAATACATGTTGTGGAAGGAGACTAGACTTTGGGTGGTGGGCACACAATGCAATATACAGATGATGTACTATAGAACTGTACACCTGAAAATTGTTATTAACCAGTTACCCCAACACATTTAATAAAAAAAAAATAACTTGCCTACTATGAAATAACTGGAGATGTGCCAAAGATGTAGCTATTTGTTATAAGAATATTCAGTGAAGATCAGTAAGCCAGGATTATGCTGCACACAAAGGAATACTTTGCTGTCATTAGAAGCCATTCTATATTGAAGAATAAAAGATTAAAATATTCCACATGTATTGTTAAATACATGCATAGAAGACCAGAAGAATTCAAAATATTAGCTAATTCTAATCTTATTATTCTTCTTGTTAATAAAATTTAATGTACCTTACAGTTTTTGGTATTAAATCATATTCATTGTAGTACTCCACAAAATAGTAACATATTGTATCAAGTGGTGCCATTAGAGGTAATTTTTTTCCCTCCAGGTTTCATTATTTTCCAAATACACTACAATACTTTTGAACTGGTAGGTTTTTTTTTAAAGCTTAGCTATAGACCTTTCTTTTGCATAGCTGTAAAATTATAGTAATTGCAATAAAATAAAAAATACAGGAAGCAAGATATCAAAGTGAACAAAAACCTCTCATGTATAATGGAGTGATACACTAATTCTCATTTTTATTTACTATATGTTATTCTAAATTAGCAATTATAATTCAAGACTTGAATTTACAAATATATCTAGCCTAGTGATAAGATTCCAGTCTTTTACGCTAAGACATACCTTGGTGAAAAGTCATTTTGACCTAAAGTTTATAAGAATAAAATATGAATACAGCAAATTTATTCAGAATTTGAAACTCAGGTTCAAACCATATCTTACATGAAAATATCAGGAGTCTATTACAGATTTTGAAAATCCACAAGAAATAGACATATCTTATATTCTGAAATGATATGCTTTTAATTACTTCTAGCAGTGTAGTAAATGACACTGATAATTAGTTTAGGAGAGAAAAACAGGGAAAAAATTTTAACCATTAGCTCTTTATACCATTCTTTAATAGTTTACATCTAAATGTTTCTAGAATGAACAGTTGAGAGTATATAGCATATAGCAACTGGAATATTCAATAACTTTTTAAAAGTCTTATCACCTAAAATTATAAAATTTTAAATGACTTTTTCATGTTTTTATATATTAGCTTTCACCTTGGCCCATTAAACCAGACTTTTCTACTGCTCAGTTCATTCATTTCTGGGCGCCAGCCTTCAGGTGCCAGGTGCTTGACCTAAGTTTTTAAGCAGGGTTATTATTCAGCCTAAGTCACTCTATTTAATTGGCAACAGTAGTTAAGCAGGACCCTAAAGAACAGGTCAAAATTAAACCAATATTTAGATTAAAATGATTATAAAACATACCAAAGGTCATGGAGCATAAAACATTACTAAGAAGCACTCAATGTTTAAAATGTCCTTTCGTCTTAAAGCTATAATATATATGTGCATATATAACTACATATATTCAATTGTGGCTGCTGCTTCTGATAAATCTTTTCTTCTGAGATGCATTTATAAAATTCATTAATACATGACCTTTAAAGATCTTTGAAAACCTAGTTATGAGATAAAGTGACTTATCACACAGCGAGACAGAAAAACAACTGATATATATTAATTTTTTTCAAGTAATGTTATGTACAGTTTTATTGCCAGTATATGCACAACAGTAAGCATAGAACTATAAATACACAATGTAATTAACAGTAGAAAACAAAACTGTTACAGGTAAAGGGGAGGAGATATAGAGAAACTTTTCCCGCTGCTAGAACAGAAACAAAGGTAAAAGCCTATGACAAATCATCCATTCAGTACTCATCTTAAATTCTTTACATACATTTCTACATTTTGTTCAATGAAACAAAGAAAGTACAGATAACTCTGTAACAACAGCAAATTGCTTCCCTAATAGCTATTTGCCTTTCCAGTCAAATTCACTTTGTTAGGGTTAAAAAAAAGTCAGTATGAGCAATCATTACTATCCTGGTTCCAAATGATCTACTTTGCCTTTCACCAACCAACACTGGTAATTTTTGCAAGTTGGCTGCACATGAAAAGAACAGATGTAGCAAAAGGTGATTTAAAAAGTAACAGAAAATCACCCTTTAAATAATTTTCCAAAAGACACCACAGGCAGCAGCTCAGTTAAAAGTTATCCCTGAAGAGGTAGAGAATTTGAGCCCATTATTCAAGGTACTAGCCTTGGCACCATCTTCTCTCTCATCAGGATCAATGTTTTCAAGTAAGACAATTTCATGTTAAAAGGAAACCAGGTTCCACCATTTCAACAAAAGGTGCTGGTTGACTCCCATGTCTCAATAATTACTTTATTAAATGAGAAACAGAAGACTGTGAAGGACACACATGCACTTGATTTTTTTTGTCTGTTTCCATTATCAAGTTTATTCATAAGTGAATTTGATATTAATAAATATAAAAAAGTATCATTCACAACAAAGATAAACAAACCAAAAACCCTGCAACAGAACCTTCTATTTTAATAAGTATCAAGAAAAACATAAACAAAAACAGGCAGATGATTTGGTGCAGCTTTCTTAAGGGATCATAGAAGGGACATGGTTTTAAATAAAGATGGCAAGATCAGTAACCAACAAACAATATCAGTTTTACAAAACTGGCTGATTCTGTAACATTTCTCTTTGAGGTCTTAGTTTTAAACTACAGACCACCCCAAAGAAGTTATAACTAATGACATGTATCACAATCACACCAACAGAGTCCAGCTGTAGTTCAAATTAGTCCTGCTTTGTTTCACACGTCATTTCAATATTACTAGCATAGGACATGATAGGAAACAAAACTCGAAGTAGCAATAAAAATATTATTCTGCATTTGAATAAAGGCAAAAAATGTTTTAGACTGTTCAACTTTTAAAGCTTTAAGCATTCCTGTTTAACCAGCATTAAAAAAAATTTTATACAACCATAACACTGGCAAAGGTTAATGGGAAGACAAAGAAGTACAAACATGTGAAATGATGAGTTAGATTTAAAATTACTTTATATTCATCAACTGTTGTTAATACTGCTTCTTCTTGAATTTGGAATAACTATCATAAAAGTTACATGCAGACTGAGGATAGCCCTCTGTTACAGAAAATACAAAACAAAACAAGAAACTAAAACTAGGAAACAATGGTAAGTTCCAAAAGATGCACTTGAAAATTTCCTTTCATTGATGAGGGTGGTCTGTCTGTCCTTTCTGAGACCTGGTTCACTTCGATCAGCCTCATTAACTTTGCCCAGAAACATCAGTAGTGGGATCAGCTCCTCCGGAGCCTGTTTGTGCACGTTTGATGTAAAGATTCAGTAGCTTCATCTGCAGATTGAAACCAAACATGTCATTTGAGCAAGCTGCTCTAAGTTATAGTATAATGTTCACTTAAAAAGTATATACATATCTGTGAGTTTTAAAAGATAAATTTTATTTTTTGTAATTTTTTCTTTATTGATGTTAGAGAGAGAGAGAGAAAGAGAGAGAGAGAGAGAGTGAGAGAGAGAGAGAGAGACAGAAACATCAATGAGAGAGAACACTGACTGGCTGCCTCCTACATGCCTCTCACTGGGGGTTTGCTCACAACCTGAGCATGTGCCCTGACTGGGAATTGAACCAGCGACCCTCTTGGTGCATGGGTCGATACTCAACCACTGAGCCACACCAGCTGGGCTGGGGAAACTCTTTAACTGAAGGCAAGTGTCTCCCATTAACTTGTTTATAAGCCATTATTCAACAATCATAATTTATTCTCACCCCCTAGAACAAATTTCAAAATTTTGATAGTACCAAAGAAATGAGAAAAGCAAGACTTATTTTATTTATTTTTAAAGTCTTAAGAACTAATTGGAAAACTTATTTTAACATACCAAATAAAAATTGTGCACTTATCTGGATAAAAATAAGAGTAGAAAGAGAACAAATATTTATCATAGTTCATAGGTGAAAATTTTAAATACGTTCAAGTGGTCCATTTTTTGGGCGATATAAAGTAATCCATGAATATATAACCCTATTTATTTTTGTTCTATTTATTAAGAAAATTTTTTTTCTTTATTGATTTTAGAAAGAGAGGAAAGGAGAGGGAGAGAGAGAGAAACACCGATGAGAGAACATTGACTGGCTGCCTCCTGCATGCCCCTCACTAGGGATCTGGTCCACAACCTGGGCATGTGCCCTGACCAGGAACTGAACCAATGACCTCTTGGTGCATGAGTTGACACTCAACCAGTGAGCCACATTGATCAGGCATAATAACCCTTTTCTATTTTTAATTAAAAAGTCTTTGGAGGTAAGGATCTGACGGCAGTGACAGTGGCAGAGAAGTTGGCTATTTTTTTATTTTACTTTTGGTACATGCCCCTAGCGGGCACCGAACCCGGGACTCTCTGGTCTGCAGGCCGACACTCCAACTACTGAGCCAAACCGGCCAGGGCTATTTTTTCTTTTTAAATCCTCATCTGAGGATATTTTTCCATTTATCTTCAGATAGAGTGTTAGGGAGAGAGAGAGAAAGAGAGAAACATCAATGTGAGAGAGACACTCGACTGGTTGCCTCCCACACAACTCCAACCATAGCCAGGGACCGAACCACAACCAAGGTACATGCCCTTGACCGGAATCAAACCTGCAACTCTTTGGTCTGTGGGCCGACACTTTAACTGCTGAGCAAAACCAGTCAGGGCAGAAGCTGGCTATTTTAAATAACCAGAATCAGTAGGCATTTCTTTTTTTGTTTTTTTTTAAATATGTTTTCATTGATTTTAGAGAGGGAGAAAGAGAGGGAGAGACATCAATGAGAAAGAAACATTGATGGGTTGTCTCCTGCATTCTCCCTATTGGGGATCAAGCCCAAAACCTAACATGTGCCCTGACCGGGAATCTAAGTGGCAATCTTCTGGGTGCATGGGATGATGTTCAACCAACCAAGCCACACTGGCCAGGCCTGTAGGCATTTGGTTCACAGTGATCTACCAACCACCCTATCAAACTGCTGACATCACCTGAGTGACAAATATGAGAAAGTAGAAATAGCTAAAATGCAAACAGTAGGAGGAATAAGTTGAATGCGCAAAGCATGACTTATAAAAGCTGAATACAAATGTACCCTTTAACACATACACAAACAAGTTTTGAAGAATGTACCATGGCCACCATCCGTGGAGCAAAGCGGGTATACTTACTTTACTGCCAGTGAGCTGACTGAGATGTGGTTTTAGTTCATCGCCAATTACTGCATGAACAGCCACCAGGCAGAAGACACAAGCTTTCCGAACACTGCTCTCTGAATTATCATAACCCTAGGGAGAAAAGTCCTTATTAGCACTCCTGGGGGATCTGAGAAAAGTACCATTTGAACAGAGACAGAGATGCAACTCAAAGATGAGATCTCAAGCTTTACTGACCGATGAACTTTTCAACCTTTCCAGGCACAGACACGCCCTTCTCTCCTTCCATCTCCCCTTCGGCATCTCCACTGTCAGCCTTCCTTATCAAGGTTCTTTCTTATTTAGCCTGGAAAGCTGCAATTCTCTGACTCTGAGGCTGCCCCTTTGTCACTCCACCCTGCAAAAAGTCTCCAGATTAACCTCCCTAAAGTATTCAGTTTTAGGGAACTCCTGCCTATCAAATAAAACCTCAACTCCTTGGCCTGGCAATCAAGGTACTTCTATAATTCAGGCCGAATTAAGTTTAATATCTGTCCCATTCCTACCACTACTCTACACCACTTGTCCAACAAATAACTATTCAGTGCCCGTTATATGTATAACATATACATGTTATGTATATTCTATTCTTAGTATCAAAGCATAGACCAAGAAGAAAGATATTTGGATTTTATCTTCAAGGACCTCATAATTTAAAAATTTAGGGCTTAGAATAGAGTCACAAAGGTAATGCTATAGATGTTTAAAGAAATAAATGATGAATTCGCTTTAGGAGGGTGTCAATATATATACTATGTAATATTAAAATGATCTAATAGAACAGTATTTATTGGATGGCAAAATTCCATAATCTATGATTAAGTTAAGCAAAGCATGTTAAAAATATAATTTCATATTTGTTATAATGTTTATATGAATGAACTGCATGCACAGAAAAAACCACATTACATCTATGACTGTAAATCAGTATAACCACTTTGGAGAGAAATCTAGTAATACCTAGGAAATTTCATTGTAATATTTATTTATGTTAATGAGAAAAGGGAAACAATCACATTTCCAACAACAGATAAATGGATAAACAAATTGTGGCATAAACATAAATGGAATATTATTCAGCCAAAAAAGGAATGAAATTCAAATACATGCTACAACATGGATGAACCCTAAAAAAAATTATGCTGAGTAAAATAAGTCAGACACAGAAGGACAAATACTGTGATTCTACCTATATGAGGAACCTAGAAAGTAGAATAGAGGTTACCAGGGAATGGGGGGGAGAAAGAATAGTGAGTTATTGATTAATTGGTACAGAGTTTCCATTTGCAATGAATAAAAAGTTCTGAAAATGGATAGTTGTTGTGTAACACTGGGAATGTACTTCATGCCACCAAATTGCACACTTAAATATAACTAAATGGTAAATTTTATATTATGTACATTTTAACACACACACAGAGCTAGTTCTGGAAAATCTTTGCTCTGAACATCCAAGACAGTAGGCAGGCTTGGTCATGCCAGTTGCCTGGAAAGTGCCTAAAATAACTGACCCCCAAGTCTATCATAGCTTATTCCAAGTTTAGCTGCTTACCTGTATTAGGCCTGGCATAATCTCTGGTAAAAGCAGATTAAGAGTTTCCTTGGACACTCTCTCTATCACTTTTGTTTGCATTTTGATCGCAGCAAGATTAATCGGGTAATCTGCAGTTTGGATGATGGGACAAAGCACTTTGATGCACTGCTCTGGACTGATTGACGTGGCCAAAACGGACGCAGCCTCCTCAGCTGATCTCACCACCTAAAACAGAGGAAATTGAGCAGGTAAGTAATTAAAAAATTTTTTTTAATACTGTGTCCTGGAAGTACAAACTTCATAAAATAAGTAGTAGGACATAATATCTGGGATTTGCTTTGAAAATATTAAAGTAAACAAACATAAAAAGTAAGAGAATAGATAAAACAGAATTGGCAAAATGTCAGTGACTGTTGAAGCTAGAAAATGGATTTATGGGGATTTATGATACCATTTTTCCTTCTTTTGTGTTTTTTTAATGTTGGCTAAAGCAATTTTTAAATCATATTGTGGTCTAGTTGTGCAGGGAAGTGAAGGCTCTATTTACCCAGACCACCATGTGGAGTCTTTTGCATCAGCCACACTCAGATGCTGCTCAGTATTCATTCTCAACTCCAGGAGTGCTTGTGCCCTTTTTATCACATTATTACAATATAAAACATTCAATATGTTATCAATTTACCATGTTATTCTTCCTTCTGTTCATAATGATTTTCTTTCCTTCTATATTGGGCTTGGAGATGGTAAGGCACTGGTTTTGCAATAAAGAGAAGAAATGATTGTCTATCTTCTTCTTAGAATCTGTATCTCTGAAGATGGTCTTGAAAACATGTGAACATTGCTGCTTTTGATGCTACTCTAGTAGCATCTCCCTTATTATCTCAACCGGTGACAGGTGCTCAGAAAAATGCAGTGGAAAATACACTGAAAGTCAGAAGACCCAGGGCTAATTTCAGCTCTTACACCTCAGGAGTGTCAACTTTCCACAGCCATATCTTTTGAAAAGTGAATGACAGAGTGTTTCAATTCCTTCTTATTGCCTTTCTTCCTACTGTGTGTAAAGTGGTATCTCACTGTGGCTTTAGTTGCATTTTCTAAGACTAATGATGTTGAACATGTTTTCGTGTGGTTATTGGCCATGTGCATATCTTCTTTGCAGAAATATCAATCCAGAACTTTTGCTCACTTTTTTTTTTTTATCCTCACCCGAGGACATTTTTTGTTCAGGTAGAGCAGGAGGGAGAGAGAGGGAGAGAGAGAGAGAAACATCGATGTGAAAGGTACACATCGAGTGGCTGCCACCCACATGACCCAACCAAGGCCAGGGACAAACTGCAACCGAGGTATGTGCCCTTAGCGGGAACCGAATCTGGGTCTCTCTGGATTGCTCACTTTTTTAATTGGGTTGTCTTTTCATTGTTGGTTTGCAAAAGTTTTTTAAATGGTATGGTTGTTAGTCCCTTATCAGATACATCATTTACAAACATTTTCTGCTATATTGTTCTGCTATATTGTGGTTGCCTTTATACTTTCTTTATAAAATTTTTTCTTTTATCCTCATCCAAGGACATTTTTGCATTTATCTTCAGATAGAGTGGGAGGGAGAGAGAGGAAGAGAGAGAGAGAGAGAGAGAGAAACATCAATGTGAGAGAGACACATCGACTGGTTGCCACCCACATGACCCCCACGGGGCGGGGACAAACTGCAACGGAGGTATGCGCCCCTAGTGGGAACCGAACCCGGGACTCTCCGGTCTGCGGGCCAGCACTCCAACCACTGAGCCAAACCAGCCAGGGAGCCTTTTCACTTTCTTGATGTCCTTTGAAGCACAAAAGTTTTTAATTTCAATGAAGTCCATTTATCTTCTTGTTGTTGTTCTACTTCTGGCATTCTAAGAAAATACTGCCTTATCCAAGGTAACAAAGATTTATACTTGTTTTCTTATGACATTTTTATTTTATTAAAAAAATGTTTTTTTCTTTATTGATTTTTTAGAGAGAGAAAGAGAGAGGGAGAGAAAGATAGAAACACTGATAAGAGAGAACATCAACTGGCTACCCCCTGCATGTCCCCCACTGGGGATTGGGCCCACAACCTGGGCATGTGCCCTGAGCAGTAATTAAACTGGTGACCTTTGGTGAATGGGTCGACGCTCAACCACTGAGCCACACCAGCCAGGCACAATTCGCACTTTTAAATTGCATGCTGTTCTGAGAAGCATAAAATCTTACACCACCCCACTCTATCCCTTTGTCCAGCATTGGCTACACTACATATGCTACCACCTGTTAGTCACTTGGTAGCCAGCTTGGTTATCATACTCACTGTGGCAATATCACAGTGCCTGTGTTCAAGTTGCCGTTATTTGACTTAATAATGGCCTCAATGCAAAGTTGTGATGCTGGCAATGCAGATGTGCCAAAGAGAAGCCGTAAAGTGCTTCCTTTTAGTGAAAAGGCGAGTAGAGTACAATAAGATATTTTGAGAGAGAAAGACCACATGCACATAACTTTCATTACAGTATATTGTTGTAACTATTCTATTTATTGTTGTTAATCTCTTACTGTGCCTCATTTATAAATTAAACTTTATTATTATATGCAGGGTTCAGTACTATCCTCAGTTTCAGGCATCCACTGGGGGTCTTGGAACAGAACTCCTGAGGATGAGGGGGACTGCTGTAATATCAGAAGTACTAGGAATAAAATAATAATTAAAGTAGCAGGTAACTTACCTCCTTATGAGGATCTTTATGTGCTTCCAATGTTTTCATGACAGTCAGTTCTGCATAGTTTTTAAATCTTGCTGGTTGATGCCTTAGGATTTCTTTTAAAACCTTTAATGCCAAAGCCCTGATTGCAGGCTAAGAAGAAACATTTTAATGTTTTTAATATTTTGGGTGGTAGATAATCTTTTACATTTTTCATGCCTGAAACTTAAGAGTCTTAATATTGGGGTGAGGGTCGGGGGAATTATAGATAACTGAATAAAGTATGTGGTATATTGCATAATTAAGTTTTTACATCTCTAGTTGAAAACATATCACACATCTTAAATATGTATAAAACTGAGAACCAACTAAATTCTACTAAAAAACAAGTTTACTTCTGAACTAAAATAAGTAGGCAAAACAAGGAACCTGTACTCTCTTGTAAAAGATCTGTCAGCAACCTCTCATTTTTCCCATTGTCAATTGTTCAAAATTGCTGAGATACTTGGTTTAGAAGAAAAAGCACTTTATAGTGAAAATTTCATGCCAAAAGCAGCGGCAGAAGAGACTCATTTTCCCAATTTCCAAATCTGTGTAGCTTGTTTAACTGGCAATGGCATGCAACCCAAGACAAGAAAAATAGTCTATTATTTACAAATTACGTCATTCACCTCTTTATCCCCAAGGGTTTCAAGCAGTAAAAGTAATATTGTTTTGAAGTGTTCATCCCAAACACTGAAAGATTCTTCCTGTGTTAGTTTCATAAGTTCATAGAGGGCAATTTTTCTTTCTTCTACACGTTCATTATGGTTAGACAACTCCTTCAATAACTCCGCAACCAGGTCAGAATGGTCTAGGGAGAGATCTGTCAAGAGGACATGACATTAATTCTGTAACTTTATAGGTCAACTCTCACAAGTATGGCGATAACAACTTCACAGCATGAAACACAATGCTGTTTGTAAAAAACAAAAACTAAGTTGATCTTTTCCATTTATCATTTCCAAAACACCAATGCTAGTTTAAAACTTTTTATAACAAAATTCATGAGAAGTACTAGTACAATGAACCTCCATATACCCACTATCCAGATTACACAATTATATTTTACCATTCTTACTTCATCTTCATGCCCACTTTCTTCTAAAACAATTCTCACAAATACCATATATTTTATCCTTGTATACTTAAGTATACATTTATATGGTGGGATCCCAGGAGGCAATGATCACTGTATTTAAATGGCAGCAACTTGTTCCCACCACTGTAAAGTTCCTTGTCAATCTTTTCTCTTTTTCTAAAATGTGTTTTTATTGATTTTTTAGAGACAGAGGAAGGGAGAGATAGAAACATCGATGTGAGAGAGAAACATCGATCAGCTGCCTCCTGCACTACCCCCACTGGGAACTGAGCCCGCAGCCTGGGCATGTGCCCTAACTGGGAATTGAACCAGGATTTCTCTGACCATGAGACAACACTCAATCTACTGAGCCACACTGGCCGGGCCCTTGTCAATATTTTACTAATGGTTTCACCCACTAATTGTTGCCAAATCAATTATTTTATTAGGAGTAAAAAATGGGCGGGAATTCTTCTATAGAGAGTAACTATTGTCAACTAGAGCTAATTACCCTGAAATACGGTTTGATAGAAAAGGCAGAATAAATACTTAATATATTTTCTTTTAAATTTCAGAGTCAAGAGTTGGGCTGCAGGTTGTAGGCCAAATCCCCAGTGGGGGGCATGCAGGAGGTGGCCAATTGATGTTCTCTCTCATCAATGTTTCTAGCTCTCTCTCTCTAAAATCAATTAAAAAAAAAAAAAAAAGAGTTGGACTGAATGTTACTAAGTTTTCATTGGTTTTTGCTTTTTAAAAGTATAATCATGAACTCATGAATTTTATAAATGTTAAAGGCCACTTATTTTTTTCACAACTGTCATCAGATAGTGCTTTGAATAATTTTTGTAGAAAAGACAGTTAATTCCAAAGGTTCACATTAGAACACTAAAAAATAGCAGAGTCCTTCCTAAATTCTTCTTCCTTTTTTTTTTTATCCTCACCCAAAGACATTTTTGCATTTATCTTCAGAAAGAGCGGGAGGGAGAGAGTGAGAGAGACACATCGACTGGTTGCCACCCACACGACCCCAACCAGGGCGGGGACAAACTGCAACCAAGGTACACGCCCTTAGCAGGAAATGAACCCAGGACTCTCTGGTCCATAGGCCTACGCTCTAACTGCTGAGCCAAACAGGCCAGGGCTAAATTCTTTTAATAGAGAAGCCTCAGGCAGTGTGGTGCAGTGTTTAGAGCATTGGCCTGCAGACCAAAGGGTTGCAGGTTGAATTCTCAGTCAAGGGCACAAACCTGGGTTGCAGGTTCAATCCCTGGCAGGTGGCGAATGTGGGAGGAAACCAATCAGTGTGTCTCTCTCATATTGATGTTTCCCTCTCTTTCTCTCCCTCTCTCCTACTCTAAAAAAAATCAATGGAAAAAATATCCTCAGGTGAGAATTAACAAAAAAAAAATTAAAACAATAAAAATATAGCCCTGGCCAGTGTGGCTCAGTTGGTTGGAACATCATCCTCTGCACCAGAAGGTCAGGGGTTTGATCCCCAGTCACATGTAGGAGGTGGCTCGTGGATATTTTTCTCTCTCTCTCTCCCCTTTTTTCTCCCCCCATTCCTCTCTCTACCCCACTCCAAAAAAACCCCCCATAAATTCAGGCCTTGAAAGACTTGGGCAGGCAGTAGCTTAAGCTTGTGTAATAGACTCGTTTCCTTACTAACTCCTAAAAAAATAGTAATAAAAGTAATAACCGCAGACTATGGTGCCTGAGCCTGGAAAGTACACCTGGGGCCATTCTCTTAACTGAGTTGTCAGGAAAGACTGCTGACACCAAGAAGATGTCTTCTCTGTTAGTCTACTTGATAAAAGCATGCTAGCCTTTTGTGGGGAAGGACTACCATTTTGCTGATCCTAATCCATCAGAGAAGGCTTGTGAATCTGGCCTTTGGGAGAGGGCTGTTGTTTATATAAGAAAAGACCAAGGGGAAAGAGCACTCTTCCCCCAAATACCTTAAGGTTGCATTTTGCCAGATGGTTCACTATTGGTTCTTAAAAACAAGCTACTGTGCCTCATCCTGCCAGCTGCTTAGCCTCTGACCTAGAGGTACCAATGGCCTGACAAGATAGGCCTCAGGAAACACACAACTACAAGTAGGAAAAAGAAAATTATATTTCACTTAAGGGGATTCAGAAACCTGAGGAAAGGGAATCAAGTTCAGCTACCAGAACATATGACTTCTCCTAAAGCAAAACTAACAGACAGGGAAGGAAAACTGAACCAAAAGGTAATGACAACATTCAATGACTATTAAAAAAGGAAATTTGTTATGACAAACTGATGCTTTATCATCCCAAATACTTTAGGATGTACTTTCTATAAACAAAGACATTGTCCTACATAACCACAATATACTCATCAAAATGAGAATCTAATTTTGAGAAAACATCAGATAAACCTAAGCTGAGGGAAATGACCTTCAAAAGTCCCAGGGTCAGGACTTCCAAGGAAAGACTGAACACGGGAGGAGATTACAGAGATATGATGATTAAAGGCAGTATAAGATTCTGAACTGGATCCTCTAGCTATAATGCATTATTGAGACAACTGACAAAACTAATGGTTTTTAGGATAGGTGGTTACTAATGTACTTGCTTTCAAATGGTTCAAGAAAAAAAAATTCTTTGTACTGTACACCTATTAGTTTTTGATTATTTTAAATTAAATATATATATTTCAGCTAAGGCAAGAAATGTCAGTAGACCCAATTTGATCTGCTGGTTTGTGACCTTTATGCAGAAATAATTTTAGTACAATTAAAGCTGCTAAAACTAGGTCTCAATTTACCAGGCTACTGCTACTAGTCAGGTTTCAAAGGACTTTTCATGCTATGTTCAATTTATTCATTCCTGTTATGCTGCTATTGTGAATAAACCTTAGCAACACAGTCAACTATTTGTGACAGATTTAAACATACCAAAGTGCATAATTATGGAAATTTTATAGATTTGTATGTAATTTAGACTTAGTTTGGTAAGTTGTCATAATTTTGCCTTTGTGATATTTGTGATCTATCAAAGTCTCTTAACATGACATGTTTATAAAAATGTAATTCGTCAACCTCATTAGCAATAAAATACAAATAAAGAAATCTTTCTACTCATCAAAATGACAGAAATTAAAAAGAATTTCTGATACCTAATTACTCAATCTTCCTAATAATTAAGGAAATTCTTATTAGGATGATCTATTTTTTATCCACCACAGTAACAAAAATGAAAAGCATTTACACATTCTGTGTTAGTGAGAAAATAAGCACTACTTAAACTGGCCAAGTGTTTTAAACTGCTAACTAGATAGTAACTCTCAAAACTTAAAACTTACATATCCCTTAATTGAGCAATTCTACCTCTAAAAATCTTAAGAGTGAATTATGTATATGTGCATAACATTTTATGCAGAAATATGCTCAGTGACAGCAACACTGTGGGAATAAAGGAAAACCAGAAACCACTTAAGGATAGAATGTAAGACAGTGCTGAGAGGGAGACTTTCAACTTTATCTACATATAGTTATACATTAGCACACATTATTTAAGTCTTAATAAAAAAATAATTAATGGATCATGTTATTTGTAAAGGAAAAATATAATTCCTTATTATTAAAAATAAAACATCTGCAGTGTTTTGTACTTTCTCATCAGTTTTTGTACACTTTCTCTGAACCCCACTGCATACTGTGATCAGAAGGGCAGGTAAGTACATCTCCATTCTTTTTAAAGGTGACAAGTGAGACTCAGGAAGGTCAACCAATTTATCAAGCCATGCAGCTTAGTAATGTTGAGCTTAGACTTAAGCCCACTGTAAGCATTAGAGCTTAGATCTAAGCTAACTCTAAATCCTAATGGTTGCTCTTCCCATATTTGATTCTTGGATATATCTTATTAGAGTATGTTTATAGATTCACACTTAAAAACCTATTGTAAAGAATGGATATTACTCCAAAGAGTTTTGTCATTCTGGTATAAAAATTAAGGGCTGAATGATGTCTAAAGATAAATGTATAAGCTACAACTGTTTTCAGTTATTTCTGGGAGGCCATTAAGGTTTTCTTCATTTTAAGGATGATCTTAGGACGACTACTGTTTCCCAGTCTTGGGAAGATAGCTACCAAACCATTACAAAGGAGTTCCTAGAAGATGAGAGAAAACATTATCATCCCAAATCCTTACTTTTTAGGTTACAAAAAAAGAGCATATATATTTCTTTTGCTTCACTGAATATCAGTCTTCCAAAACACAGGTAGTAACAACAGTATGAGACACAGAGCATACCATCAGGAAACTGGTCGGCATCATCATCAAACATAGCTTCCTTGAGGGCAGACTTATTGAAGGGACTGATGCTGTCTGAATAGTTATATGGATTATAATCTCGAGAGCGAGGAGAGGAGTGAGGAGGAATGGAATGGAGCAATGAGGCTTTATTGTCAAGGGCTGTTTGGCTTGAGTCAGTGGCATCACCTCCTGCTCTTGGGTCGGACATCCCTGGACCACCACACATCTATTAATGGAAGAGGAAGGGACAGCAAATTAACTCCTTTTCAAGTTATCAATTCAAAATTCTAAGAAAAAGTTTCCTCACTGCTTAAAGTTCTATTTTAAAAAGGTAACAATAACCAGCCGAAAAAATATTTATGTAATGATAATCATCATGAGTTAAAACTTACATTCAAAATGTCAAAGCTTATATAGTAAAGGTGTAAAGAAACCTGTTGAAGGTAAACAAAAACCATAAAAGAGTATTGTCTCTGCCCTGGCTGGTGTGGCTCAGTTGGCTGCAGTGTCATCCTGTACAATGAAAGGTCACGGGTTCAAACCCTGGTCAGGACACACACTCAGGAGAGCTTAGGTCTGGACTGGATCAAGTCATGTGGTTTATTATACTCTCAATAACTTCTAAGGTATGTAGTAATACTCCTATTTTCCTAATGAAGATACTGAGGTTTAGAAGTGATAATCTGACTAGCTAATAATTGCCAGGAACCAGGACTCAAACTCATTTATGCCAGCTCCCCACAATGTACCCTATCTCTCGGTGGGGGAGTGGGGGTCTCAGTTATTCTTACAAACCTGTCATTACTACCACACGTAGCTTTTGGGACAGAGAACGTCAAATGTGAGTGGTGAACTGGTTTTTGCACCCAGTTTACCAGGCTCCCCTGCCAGAGAAGCATGGGGAAGAAAACAAGAACAGGAAGGCAGAGGAGGGCGTCCTTCAGAGATGGGCCGAAGCTCTGCGCGGTTCTCAATTTCACAAACACAGAGAAGCCACAGATTCCTTAGGAGAGAGTGGATGGCTGGCTTTAAGAAAAGTGAGGCTGTCAGACAAAAGTCTAAGGAGTAAACTATAACTGTTTTTTGTATAATGGCAGAAGCAACAAACTGTACAATAATACAAATATCAGAAAGATAGATCATACCATTCTTATTGGAACTACACAAACAACTAATAATGCAAATCACTGTCACTACACTTAACAACAACAAAAAAATCTAAATGCCATATTTTGTCTTACAAGACCCAAGTAATCTGGCCCATGTGCCATTCCTCCACTCTTTCCTAATGTTCCAACTACACTGGCTTTTGCCCTGGCAGCCAACTATACATAGCTTGTTCTCATCTAATCGTCTTAGAAGCACTTGCTATTTCTTTTAAGGAATTCTCCTCTCCTTTATTAAGGTCTCAATGCAAATGTCACATTCTGATTGAGGCCTTCCCTGACCAATTAATCTAAAATAGATTCACTTTACATTTCAACCTAAAACTCCACAGTACTCAGTTCTATCTGAAAATCTACAAGGAACATGAGGGCATAACTATGCCTTCTAAATATAAGACCCAAAACAATGCCTGGCACATGGCAGATACACAGTAAATATTTGTGATTGACCCCTGGGAAATTATGTTTGAAAATGACAGGAAGCAAAGTTAAACAAAAAAAAAAAAAGAGAGAGAGAAAACCAAACCAAACCAAAAAGACTCTTAATGAAAAATCTGCAATGTAAGAATATTCAAATACTCACTGAATCGCCATCATCTTTTTTAGAATCCTTTTTCAATGGCTCATTCATATCTTCTTGACTACGGTAGCTGAAATTCTGAATTGCTTCAGTGACACCTCTAAGAGAGCTATAAATATCTTCAGAGTTCATATTTTCTGTGTCATAATCAAATGCACTATAAAAAAAGACAACTAATTTTTATTTATGTGCAGTTTTAAAATACAAACACATCTGAGGAGATTATGTAGGACATTTATAGAGATGGGATTAGAGAATGTATATTCCCTAAAGCAAAAGAAAACTCAACACCTATAAATGGTTAAAGTACATGTCTCCTTGTCCACCCATTAAGGGCAGCATAATAAATGGTTTGTCTTTTCACCTTTAAAGATGTTCTGATTAACCAGGGGCCAGCAAACTCTGACTCCTGAAATCTAAGAATGTTTTTTACATTTTTATTTTTTATTTATTTATTTATTTTTATTCTCACCCAAGGGCATTTTTAAAATTTTTTGTTCAGATAGAGGAGGAGGGAGAGAGAGGAAGAGAGAGAGAGAAACACTGATGTGAAAGGGACACATCGAGTGGCTGCCACCCGCACGACCCAACCAGGGCCGGGGACAAACTGCAACCGAGATATGTGCCCTTAGCGGGAACCGAACCCGGGTCTCTCCGGACCGCAGGTCGACGCTCTAACCGCTGAGCCAAACCGGCCAGGGCTGTTTTCTACATTTTTAAATAGTTGAGAAAAAAATCAAAATAGTATTTCATGACACATGCAAATTATATAAAATTCACATTTCAGTGTGCATAAATAAACTGTACTAGAACATAGTGACACTCATTTATTTAGGTATTGTCTATGGCTATTTTCACCCTATTATCATCATAAATGAGTAGATGTGACAAAGACTGCATGGCCCACAAAGCCTAAAATATTTACCATATGGCCATTTACACAAAGGCTGCTAACTCCTGTGATTAACTCACACTAACAATAGTGCTTGAACTTTTAACACTGAACATATTATTGACATTAATTCTATTATCAAATTCTCAAATTCAACCAAGGCTGGAATGTAGCTATTAAAATTGTTACATATATATAACACAGAATAGGCTAGATGATTAGTTTACAATATATTTTTTCTTTCTTAGATGCTGAAGTATCCTATAATTTTAATGAATTATGATGAAACATGCTATGGTATATATAGCTAATAAAAAAGAATCAAGTTAGTAACTACAAATATGGACTACTATGCAAACTATTTTTAAAACGACAGGAAAAAGGAAAAACTATTCACTAATGTGTCAAGAAGTTCATCTGAAATACAGCCCATGCCTGATTGCACAAAAGTACGAAAATTATATGTCTTATATTTTATATTAAGTACCAATCTCACAGTTCGATTTTTCTTAAGAAGTATTACATGTCATTTTATTTTTATCCCTTCTCCATTTTTATGTTTTTGTCTGTAAGCTTATTTTTTCTATTTTTAGAAGTGATTGGACAATATTTGATCTAAATATCCATCATTATAACTTGACCTCACTGTTTTTACTTAGTATAACTAAAAGATACAATTTTCAATTTATTGGATTTGTACAGCATATCTGAGAAACACACTATGTTATTCAATGTACAAGCTATAATTTACAAAAGCTATGCCACTAAGTTTTCTTTTGACTTATTATTAACATTTAAATAATTACTTTTGGAATAAATGTTACATTTTTTGAGTGTACTAAGTTCCTATGTGTTCTAAGAAGACATTTCGACTCAAGTGGAAATCAACTGGAATTATATTAATGTCTGTTTTTCTAATAATAAAAATCTGCAGTAACAAACCATGATGGAAAATTATGCCTTTATTACCTTGGAGATAAAGTATTCTGTGATGTATTGGTAGGAGAAGTAAGAGGACTGGACCAGTTGGCTGGTGAACGTGGTGCTGGTCTTGTCAAAGGACTCCCCATGGTACTCTGATGGAGGGATGGAGGGAGTCAAATAAATATTAACACATGACAGTTATGCAAAGGACTCCCCATGGTACTCTGATGGAGGGATGGAGGGAGTCAAATAAATATTAACATATGACAGTTATGCAAAGGACTCCCCATGGAACTCTGATGGAGGGGGTCAAATAAATATCAACATATGACAGTTAGGTTAAGTTCAACGAAAAGACTCTTAAGGAAAGCACACAATCAAGAAGTTGAATAATATAAAAGCCATATTTATAGATCTGTATTTTAAATATTCATGTATTTATCTCTGATTTCTGTAGGAAAAAACTTTCTTCCCATTCAGAAATCTAACTTTTTAGTCTTTATTTTGTTCTCACCCACTTCTGACTCTCAAATATTATCAATATCTTTACCTCAAAGATCCAACATGATCTGAAATTAATAATTTTAAATTAACTTTCTGTTCTGAGCCAATTTCCTTCCTCCAACCATTATTAATGCTCAAAGTTTATTCCTCCTTGAGTTTGCTTTAATAATGATTTTCACAAAGACACCAAAGGCATAAAAATCTGGTCATGTTATGAATTTACCTCTCTCTTAAGATTTAACAAAATAATCTGTTCTCCTTTTAAAAAGATAACTAATTTTGGTCCTAGGAAATTGTTCTTAGATTGTTTTTAACCCTCAGACTTTACCTTAAGCTTGCCATAAGTGAATCTATTTTCTCCTTTACCCATTATCAAAGATCTGTCTTTTAAAAACAAGTTCAATTGTTTAGGCATATTATGTAAATGATCCTATACCATTTAGATCTATAACAATGGAATGTTTCCTTTACTCAAACTTTACTTCCCCAAAACAAAATCCAGTATATCCAAGCACCTTTGGACTGACAAGCCTGTAATTATTAAATATAAACACATCTTTTTAAGCACTTACCCTCTTTGGACTTATATGTTAACCCTGGAATAAGTCATCCCTCTAGTCCACAAATAAGAATCAGTTAATCTAAAGAGCATGTCTTAATTCTAATGGCTTACAAAGCTAATGCTGTCATCTAAGTTCTTGCTTTCATTTTGCTTTCCTTTTTCATATTCTGGCCACCACATTAATGTACAACAAATTATAACATAAACATGACAGGCCAAAGGACTCGATTCTTTCCAGGACAATATTTAATTCAGCTCAGGAAATACTGTCCAATGTAAATACAAAAATTAAATATTAGCATCAAGTTTACTTCATGTAAAGAAGAGCAGTTATTGTTAAACCAACCATCATATAATAGCCAAGAAAAAAACTATAAAATACCTGGGTTCCATTGCCAGCGTTTCGAAGGTGATTATGAAGAAGCTTGGTAGCACCATCCTGAAAAGTTTTTGGTAAAGCTCCTAATAACATTGTAAACTCTGGGGTATTGAGTTCAAACAGGGAAATCAGCACTGAGTGTGCTGCCTAGAAAACACAAGAAGTAAATTAGTATATTGTGGTTACTCAAAGGGAATCATTTTCTTCATTCAACATTTCTGTTCAACAGCACTAGGCCATCTTTCCCAGAAAAACAGATGTTCCTATATGCTTTAAAATTCCTTTGCTGAAAGAATAAAACTGTTTAACCTATTTATTTTTTGAAAGAAAGAATATGAAAAGTACAACAAATACAGATTAAAAAATGAACAGCCAAAGTTAACTAGACAGCAGTTCCAGGGTTACTCCATACTCCATCGTACATACACTATATTCCACAGTGTACATCAATATATACTACTACCTCAGTTTTCCTAATAAATGATTATAAGAAGAGCCCTGGCCAGTTTGGCTCAGCGGTTAGAGCGTCGGCCTGCGGTCCGGAGAGACCCGGGTTCGGTTCCCACTAAGGGCACGTACTTTGGTTGCAGTTTGTCCCCAGCCCTGGTTGGTCGTGCGGGTGGCAGCCACTAGATGTGTCCCTTCACATCGATGTTTCTCTCTCTCTCTCCCTTCCTCTCTCTCCCTCCCACTCTATCTGTACAAAAAATGGAAAAATATCCTCGGGTGAGGATAAAAAAAAAAAAAAAAGAAGAAAGATGTAATTAAAAATAAAGATGCATATCCCTAAGCTATACAAAGTCTGTCCAGAGCAACTTGATTATTTGAATTTCATTTTCTCCATATGTGATTCTTAAATTAACTGGCCGAATCTCGTCTTCTTTTCAAGCAGCTAATCTAACAAATCTACAATTTGAAGCTAAATCTTCTCTAACATTTTTGTTGAAATGGAAAAAAAAAAAAAACTTACAAATTTCTTTTCTTCCTCTAAAGTAATCAACTGAGTTATTAACAGCCAAACTTTGGAATTCAGGTTATATAGAACCTTAACTGAAAGGAGAAACTCAAATGGTTCATGATCATGACTTGTATCTAAATTCACTGACCTCATTCTATGAAAACCTAAGTGTTCTGTTTATGGCATTAGAATATACAATACTACAGGATTGGTTACACTGTTACATCGGAGCAATGGCATACTACACAACATAGCCTTGAAAGATGATATAGCTCTATCCATGGAGAAATGGGGAGAGGATTATTATGTACTGCTGAAGGAAAAAGATAAACCAAGTTATAACATAAGCCCATTTTGTTAAAAACAACCAAGTATACAATTTGAGGGTATATACTCTAACATGTTAATAGTGCTTAAAGAAAGTGATTTGTATTTTGAAACCAAACTTTATGATCCTGTCTCTTTGGGAACCACAACATTGAGAGGACCTCAATTTAACTGGAGCAAATGAATTAATGACTGTTACAGTATACTTCATTCCATGTAGACTTTATTTTGGTATATGAGATTCAGCTTCTATTCCCCTTAGAAACAGCTCATCTGCTCCCCAAATCATTTACCAATGAGTGAGTCCTTTCCTCATAACTTGAAGTGAAACCCTGATTGTGAACTAATCTATGTAAACCTAAGAGTCTCTGGACCTTCCTTTATGTGCCATTGATCTGTCTATTTCTCATTAAATACTACAGGTTTAAATTGCATGATTTAAATTGCAATAGCTTTCGTATATTTTGATGAAGTCCTTCATTTGTTAGTTTATATTTTAATGTCTTATTTGCTTTACTAAATACATTTTATATTTACTTAAAAATAATTTTTCAAATCTTCAAATAAAAATAATACATAGTTATGGATTTTAAAAAACCAAACTGTACTAGAAAAGGTTTTATAATTCTTTTTTTGTTAATCTTCACCCAAGGATATATATTTTTCCATTGATTTCAGAGAGAGTAGAAAGGAAGGAGGGAGAGAGAGAAAAACATCGATGTGAGATTGATTGGTTGCCTCCTGCATGAACGGCAACCCAGGTACATGCTGCTTATCAGAATCAAACCCTAGACCCTTTGGTCCTTGGGCCGATGCTCTAACCACTGAGCAAAAATAGCCAGGGCAGGTTTCATAATTCTTAATTCCCCTGTTCAGCTCTCCAAAGAGTTCTTTGTAATGTTTGCTTTTCTCTGTTAGGCATTCATAGGCCTACATAATTATTTATTGATTTATCAGCTTTTTTTTTCAGATAGAGTGGGGAGGGGGAGAGAAACATCTACGTGAAAGGGACACGTCGAGTGGTTGCCACCCATACAACCCAACCTGGGCCGCGGACAAACTGCAACCGAGGTACATGCCCTTAGTGGGAACCGAACCTGGGTCTCTCTGGACCGCAGGCCGACGCTCTAACTGCTGAGCCAAACTGGCCTGGGCTGAAAATAGGTGCCTTTTAATATCAACCTTATCTTTCCTACCATTCCTTACGCAACATAGTCATAGTCCATTTTTATCACATTAGCCAGCATAATCTTTAAAACTGTAAGTCAGATCATATAACTCCCTAACTTAAAACATGCCAATGGTTTTTAGTCACATCAGCATTCTTGTTCTTGGAACATTCCCCCAATTTTTTTTTTAAGCCTTACCTGAGGATATTTTTAAATTTATCTTTAGACAGAGTGTGTGTGTGTGTGTGTGGGGGGGGGGGGGGGGGACAGAGAGAGAGAGAGAAACATTGACATGGGAGAGACACACTGATTGGCTGCCACCTGCATGACCCCAACCAGGGCTGGGGACAAACTGCAACTGGGGTATATGCCCTTGGCCAGAATTAAACCCAGAACTCCCTGGTCCACAGGCCAATGCTCTAACCACTGAGCAAAACTAGCCTGGGCACATTCCCCAATTCCTAACTCTGATGAGATACAATTTATCTTTTTCCTTTTGTTGTTTGCGTTTTTGGTGCATATCTAAGAATTCATTGCCAAATCCCAAATCATGAAGATTTATCCCTGCTTTCTTTTAAGAGTTTTATAGGTTTAGCTTTGACATTTAAATCTTTGACCTATTTTGAGTTAATTTCTGCATATGATGTGTGATAGGATTCAACTTCATTCTTTTGCAAGTGCCTATTTAGTTGTCCAAGAGCACAATTTGTTGAAAAACACTATTGTTTCCTTATTGAATGACCCTGGCATCCTTGTTAAGCATCAGCTGGCTACAGATATATAGGTTTATTTCTGCACTCTCAATTCTATTCCATTGGTCTTTATGCCTGTCCTTACGGCAGTACCACAGTCTTGATTACAGCTGCTTTGTACTAGGTTTTGAAATCAGGAAGTGTCAAGTTCCCCTATTTTGTTCTTTTTCAAGATTGTTTTGGCTATTATGGGTCCTTGGCAATCCTACATGAACTCTGGAATCATTTTATCAATTTCTACGAAGCCATCATGGATTTTGATAGGTAGATTACATTTATTTAGTGTATCACTTTGGGAGTACTGCCATCTTAACAATGTTAAGTCTTCTAATCCATAAACATGGATGCTTTTTCACTTACTTAAATCTTCTTTCTTTCAAAATGGTTTCATATTTTCTTCTATACATTTTGTACTTTTTTGTTAATCTTATTCTTAAGTACCTGAATATTTTTTACATTTTGTACTTTTTTTTTGTTAATCTTATTCTTATAAGTACCTGAATATTTTTTATCTTATTGTAAATAAATTATTCTTCATTTCATTTTTGGACTGCTCATTACAAGTGTTTAGAAATACAACTGATTTTTGTGTATTTATTTTATATCCTGCAACCTTGCTAAAGCTGTTTATTAGTTCTAATAGTTTATTAGTGATTCCTTAGGATTTTATATATATGAGATCATATATATATGTATTTCTGCAAACAGAAATAGTTCTAATTCTTCATTTCTGATCTGGACTTTTTTTTTTTTGGCCAAACTGGCCTGGCTAGAACCCCACTACAATGTTTGAATGGAAATGTTAAGAGCAGAGACATCTTGTCTACTTTCTGATTTTCGAAAGAAAGTATCCAGTCTTTCACTTTCACCATTAAGTATGATGTTAACTGGATTCTGTAGATTCTTTTATTGAATTAAGGACATTTCCTTCGTTTAGTTTCTTTTTGTTTTATAATCACGAAAATATGTTAGATTTTTGCCAGATGCTGTTTCTATAGAGATGATCATGTACCTTTTTACCATTGATATGGTGTATTCCATTAACAGATTTATAGATGTTCAATTACTGACTGGGAATTGAACTGGTGACCTTTCAGTGCACGGGCCGACACTCAACCAACTGAGGTACACTGATCAGGGTTGTGGATATTTATATATTTTATTACTAAGTCAATCTTTTTACCTCTTCTATTCACATCTATTTCTTCTTGAGTCAGTTTTGGTAGTTTGTGTCTGTCTAGAAATCTGTCCATGTCATCTAAGCTAATTAATTTACTGGCCTAGTATTCCTTCATAATCCTTTCTATTTATGTAAGGTTAGTAGTAATATTACCTTTCATTTCTAATTTAGTAATTTGAGTATTTTTTTTTTTTTCCCCTTGGTCAATCTAGTAAAAGATTGTGAATTTTGTTGATCTTTTCCAAGAATCAGCTTTGGGTTTCATGGATTCTTTTCTATTGTTTTCCTACTTTCTAATTCATTTATTTCTATTTTAATCTTGATGTCTCTCTTTCTGCTTATTTTAGGTTTAGTTTGCTCTACTTTTTCCAGTGTTGTAAGGTGGTAGATTAGGCTATTCATTTGAGATCTTTCTTCTTTTTTAATGTAGGCATTAGCAGCTATAAATTTCCCTCTAAGCATGATCCCATAAGTTTTAGTATGTCGTTATCTTCATTTGCATTCATCTCAATGTATTTTCTCAGTTCCCTTTTGATTTCTTCTTTGATCCACTGGTGATTTAGGAGTATGTAAATATCCACATATTTGTGAGTTCCGTTTCCCTCTGTTAATAATTTCTAATATCATTCCACTGTGATCAAAGAACATATTTTGTATTATTTTTATCTTTTAAAAAAAAATCAATTGAAGTTTGCTTCATGGCCTATCATATGCACTTGAGAAGAATGTATAGTCTCTGCTCTTGCTGGGTGTTCATCATTAGAAATAAAGGTCAGAAAATTTATATTCTGTGTACTCTTTTGAATCAAATATTGAGGGAAATGATTTACCAAGGAAGAAAGTAAATAAAGCTAGATATAGGATGCAAGAAATAAATGAGTAGGGTTAAAGAGAAGTCTGAGAAATATGGTGAAGAGAACAGACGGTCTAGGAAAAAGCTCAGAAAAATAAATAATTTATATTTTTGAGCATATGGAAAGTATTAGCCATAGGCATATGGCTGGGACGTCAAAAATACTAACAGATAAGCCCTGGCCGGTTTGGCTCGGTGGTTAGAGCGTCGGCCTGCGGTCCCGAGACCCGGGTTCGGTTCCCGCTAAGGGCATGTACCTCGGTTGCAGTTTGTCCCCAGCCCTGGTTGGTCGTGCGGGTGGCAGCCACTCGATGTGTCCCTTTCACATCGATGTTTCTCTCTCTCTTCCTCTCTCCCCCTCCCACTCTACCTGAACAAAAAAAAAAAATAGAAAAATGTCCTCAGGTGAGGATAAAAAAAAAACAAAAAACTAACAGATAATTAAACATTAAAGTCCTGGCTGGTGGCTCAGTTGGTTGGAGCATTATCCCCTACACCAAAAGAGTGTGTGGGTTCAATTCCCACTCAGGGCACATACCTAGGTTTCAGGTTCAATCCCCAGTGGGGGCATGTATGGGAGGCAACCAATTAGTTTCTTTCTCACATCAATGTTTCTCTCTCACATCATCATCAACAATAACAAAAAACATATCCCCAAGTGAGGATTAAAAAAAAAAAAAAAAACAGAAAGAAGGCAAGTAGCAAACCATGTGGTGTAGGAGTGAATACTTCCAAAGTGAAACTGATGACCAACAACTTATTCATAAGTATTCTGAAGGTTATGGGGAAAGATCTAGAAAAAGATGTGGGAATAATATGGGAAAGCTAAGTCTGCATTTACCAAGTAGATAGACAGATACATAATGACTAGATTCATCAACAGTATCAATAGATAATGTCTAAAATTAATAAGTCAAAGATAGTATAAAGCTCTTACTTGAAATACATAGATAAATAAATACAAGGGGAAAGATTTGAAATATTTGAATGGTTAACAGATTAGACTGAGAATATTATGGCAAGGACAATCTTTTTATTCTAAGTGTGAAAATTTTACTCATATTACGTGGATAAAACTTAAAATAATTTACAAGAGAAGATTTTTTAAAAAAGGGTCTTCATATAACCAGGTAAATAACTCAATGCTAACTAGTATTGTTCTGAAAATATTAGCTTCCTTCACTGGCAATCCAAAACGACTGACTTGCTTTTCTAATTTATCTTCTAGACCTTATGTTAAAACATACCTTCCGAACATCAGAACTTTTGGGTTCTGTTGTCCAAGTGATAAATCGAGAGACTGCCAAGCGAGTTTCACTGGAATTTATAAAATCTCCTGGGTCCATTTGTTTGGCCAGAGTTTCTATATATTTAAGAATAGCAACCTTCACCTGCAGAGGTAAGCACAATGAGAGAGGACAATCAGATGGTCACTGAGGGACACTGAGAACATTTCAAAAACAATTCAGTGATTATTTTTTTGACAAAAAGTGAAACAAAACAAAACATAAAACCACCACCAACAAAGAATTAAACCACCACCTACCTACCTGAGGTGCAAGTATAGGATAATGTGAATTTTTGTTTTTCACACAGAGCAGTACTTTTAAGTCGCAGACGTTTCACTGCTCATGTCTGAACAACTGCTGAGGACTCTCTTGACAGAATTATACACCTCTCCGTGAGTTTGCCTTCGGAGCTTACAGCTGACTCTTGTCTAGACTCCCTGAGAGCCAGTCTTTTATCAACTGAGTGTAATTTGGCTTTTGGGAAAATGAAGCAAAGTATTTTGAAAATAAGGCGTTACAACTCAAGTGAGTAATTAAGGTGGGCAATATAGGGCCTTTATCAATTATACAGTAAGACTCACACAATCAGACCAGGTTCTTTAACAGGTCCATCAAGTGCTAGAACTACCTTCCAAAAGAAGTGTCACAAAATGTTTTACACAAGTACCCTGGAAAAGACAACACTTATTTGTATAAGAGTTATATGTAGGTTTAAAAAGTCTTATTATTCTCCCAGGAATGATGTGTGGCTGCATGGTGGGATGCCGAGTTCAGAATTAGCAAGAGGTAGGCACAGCAGCTCACTTCTTCCTTACAATTAGCCTTTTTTTTTTTTATCCTTATAAAAAGATACAGTTAAATTATTTCCCTTCTTTCAGGTATGTTGGGGCAGAAAAAATAGGTTGAGAACCACTATTTTTAAAGTCATATCTTCAAACATTCCAGGATTTCTAAATAATGGTTAAGACTTTACCAATACACTTTAGAAGTGGCACCTGGCAGAGAGCACAGTCCTTAGATACAGAAGATGCCAAACACATTCTAAATGCTGATCTATAAGTAAGACAACAACCTTGGAAATATATTGCCAAAGATTAAGGTACTTAGTTTTTTATACTCTTTCTGCCCCAATTATTGACATTAATGTGTCATTTTACTCACTCAATCCAAATAAGGTCTTGGAAAGTATAATGCTAATATGCAGGAAGTAAAACTTTAAAATAAGGTTCTGATGCTTTTGTATTTTCCATTTTCTGCTTCCAGTTAAACAAACAAAAAAAGACAGAAGGGAACAAATTACATATTACATTTCCAAATGAATGAATTTTAAGAAGTAATCAAAACTTTATAAAATAAATTTTAAAAATCCAAGAGTTAACTTATCAGCTGTCCTGGGTAAAATGTACAGTGGAGAGGGGAAGAGACACGCGGTTACATACAGCTGCAGGCCCCACGCAACTAGGGCAGAACGTAATACTGTGCATTCTTGGAGCCACATCACCTTCTATCAGTGTTAACACATGAAAGGTGCTATAGTAAATTTTAAAAATTAACACCGATGTATTTTATTTTCAATCTGCCACCCTTAATAACTAGGTAATTTATTCACATGATGAGATTCAATTAGAGCAGTGTCTTAGCAATTTATAGAGGTATGCAACGTTTTAAAAGGGTTTCATCGAGTAGGCATGTTTGCCATATTAATAGGCAAAATAACCACAATACACATAATGATTTGAAAGTTTACATTTTAGTGGAATATTTTACAAGGTCATAGACATAGTCTGTAATTTTAATAACACAAGCATGCATTCTTCTTTTTTTAAAAAGTATTTTTATTGATTTTTAGAGAGAGAGGAAGGGAGAGGTAGAGAGAGAAACATCGATCAGCTGCCTTCCACATGGCCCCTACCAGGGATCAAGCCTGCAACATAGGCATGGACCCTGACAGGGAACTGAACCATCAATCTTTTGGTGCATGGGACAATGCCTAACCAACAGAGCCACAATGGACAGGGCAACATGCATTCTTCTTAAGAGAAGAAAAAAATAATCTAGTTGCCTTAAGGTGTATATAATTCTACAACATGTTTGTGAATCCCGGAAAAAGAGGTCATCGAATTACATTTTGTAAAATATTACTTACTCAAATAAAAGCACTCTGTATTGCCATTTCCCCCTATTCTATTACTTTCTTTCTGATATTTAACCACGGTATACTGTGAGAGACATAGAATTTTATACAAATATCCATCTTTTATCGGAAAGATCCATCATTTTTTTCAAAAGCATTTTCACAGATCTCATACTTGTTATTTGTGTTTTTCTTTTAATCTGTTAAGTTTTTTATTATTAATCCTGTCACTCATCTGAACATTAGTTCTATTTTTGGCATAAGGTATGAATGGCTTCAATATAACTTCCTGCTATCCTAAAATATCAATTTAAGAGCTGAAGATTAATTTTCCCCTACAGTTTTGCTTGTATGTATATATAATATGTAATATAAAATATACAATAAAAAGGTCATATAAAGAGTCTGATTCCAGTCTCCAGTATAATGTTTTCCAATAGGAAAGCTGATTTTAAGTTGTCTATTTCTCATTTCCCTCTGCCTTTTATGTCTTTCTCATCAGGTCTTAGAAAGTTTATTCTCTCCCTCAACTCTCCTATCACCCTTATTTCTTAAGCTAATTAATGGTTTAGACCTCCATTTCCACTGGCCCAAGAAACATTTCTACATATATTTTCAACACTTCAATACCTACCACCAGTACCTAAATCATAACCCTGATTACAGTTCATAGTATAAAAAATTATAAGTTCACCCTGGCTGGTTTGGCTCAGCGGATAGAGCGTCAGCCTGCGGTTCAGAGAGACCCGGGTTCGGTTGCCACTAAGGGCACGTAACTCAGTTGCAGTTTGTCCCCAGCCCTGGTTGGGTTGTGCGGGAGGCAGCCACTAGATGTGTCCCTTTCTCATCGATGTTTCTCTCTCTCCCTCTTACTCTATCTGAACAAAAAAAAAAAAAAAAATTATAAGTTCTATATTCCATTATAAATTTAAAATGCTTAGCACAATGCCTTGGACAAAGAATGAGTTCTAAACATTTTTATAAACAGTATCAAGTAATTATTATCTTCTGAAGGTCACTTTTCACAATTAAAACAGATGGAATTTCCTTCACAAAGCAGCTCTGAGAAAATAACATTGTGTTGAGTGTAAGTCAACCCTGGTAAGAAACATAATTGTGATTTTAAGACAAAATCATATTCAGAAACTTAAAGGAAAATCAGTCCTGGGCAGTAATGCTTGTGAAAATATATTTCGTGCAAGAATAGAGCAGAAAAATATAAGGAATATAAATGCACATATGCTTGTTATTTCCCTGACTTTAATCTCATTGAATAATACTAGGAAACACTTTAGTAAAGAATTCAGGAGTTCTTTGTTTATATCAAATTATTTCTATTTTAATTTAATGATTACTTTTATAAAAATTTAAAATCAACCTAGTTTTCACATAAATTAATAGGAAAATGTGTGCTAACAACAGAGAAAGTTAATCTGATTCTAAATTTTATGCACACATCAAATATATCACATTGAAAAAAGAAAAAAAAACACCACATTACTACTTCAGTTAAGAAAAAAAGCACTGAGACTAAACTTTTTTTTTAAACAAATTTTTTTGTTTACTAAAATAAATATAGGTAAAACTGACACTTTGCCCAAAATACCTATTCAGATTCTAAATTAAAAAAAAAGAAAAAGTATTGGGAAATCACAAACATAAAATTAGATAAGATTTTACAGAACAGAGTTTGCATTACGAGCTTAGGGTTAGATGGCCATACTTGTGTTGCTTTCTAAATGTGTACCGCCACTAAGCTTCTCCAAAGAACAGCCTGGCATTTGAATAACATTTGAAATTAAAGTATGTGCATGCTTACAAGGCTTACGAAGGTTAGTAGTTGAACACAGATGCATATAAACATTATCTGAAACACTGCAGAACTGGGAAAGAGAGTTAAGAAAAGAAATGATGCAGATTGAAACAAAAACAAAAAAAACCTTGGAGCTCCAAAAAGAGTGAAGCTGGTCCCGAAGTGCTGGCTTGACTGTCTGAAAGTTTATAAAAACAAAATCCACTGATTGAAAAGCTTTCACGTGACAGAAATACACACATCAACATAACTTTATTAATAAAACATTTCAATTCTTTATGTCTTCAAAAGACTTCAAATCTTTACCTTCAAACTTGGTGTTTGAGTCTGATCAACTGTAAATCTCATTAGAATATTGAATTGAAGATCATTTGGAAAAGATTCTCTAAAAGGGAAAAAGCAAAACAAAACAAAAATTAACTCAGCAAGTAAGCATTTAGTAAACTTAATAAAAAATTATGCTTAATACCAAACCAACATGTCATTCCAAAAGAATACATGAATTACTACATATCTGTATGTGATACAATATACAATAAAATTTATCCCCCCCAAAAAGTCTTAACATTTTAATTTATATCCTGTAGGGGTTTGGAAATCAACACTATAATAAATAATGATCTATCTTGCCTCAACTATAATTTAAAAAAAAAATTCAGCGCTGGCTGGTTTGGCTCAGCAGTTTGAGCGTTGGCCCGTGGACCGGAGAGTCCTGGGTTCAGTTTCCGCTAAGGCATGAACCTTGGTTGCAGTTTGTCCCCGGCCCTGGTTGGGGTTGTGTGGGTGGCAACTGGTCAATGTGTCTCTCTCACATCGATGTTTCTCTCTCTCTTCCTCCATCTCTCCCTTCCGCTCTATCTGAAGATAAATGCAAAAAATGTCCTTGGGTGAGGATTAAAAAAAAAAATTCAGAAAAAGTTCAACATTATTAGACATGTTTTCCCACAACTAATGTCTGAATTCTAGACTCAACTCAGTGAATTAAAAGATTATTTGAAATATGTCATTTCAACAATCTACACAAGAGTAAAAATATACTATTGGTTCTGAAAAAAGATTCTGAATATTTCAATGCATAATAAAACATTCTTTTTAAACTTAGAAAATATTTCATTTTTACAGTAAATTGAATAAAATCTTCAACTTAACTTAGCAGATAAATCCTAATTATGATAAAATTCCACCTTAAATTACTCAACAAATGTTAATGACATCTTTATGAAAGAAAGCAGTGTTTGATCTAAGGACAAATGTTGCATAAAATATACCATGTGAATGGGCATGAACAATTGTAAAATGGAGCCTATGCAGTTCAAATGGGTTGGAAAGACTCAGCTATCTCAACCTTTAACACAGAAATGAAATATTCCTGATTATCATCAGGTAAACTTGAAATATATTTTAAAAAAAATATTACCTTGTGACATCAAGGGCTTTCTGAACTTTTGCCTGAACAGATCCAAGCAAATCAGCACCCATTTTTTTTAGTAGTTGCGTCAGCAATACAAACAACCAATCTTGAAGATCGTCTTTGTGGACTTGTATGAAGTCCACTAGAGTCTCCAAAAACATGCTGAACACCTACAGTGGATAAACAGGGGAGGGGAGAGAAAAAGGAGGAAATATTGACCTTTATGATCAATTCAAACTGAAATAGAAAGGAATACAGGAATCAGAGGCACAGCGATTGGCAGCCAAGCAGAAAAACAATCTCTCTTGCTTTTCATTGGACTCTGTGATACAAGAGTACATCTGAAATGTTATCCAACTTCTGCTGAAGTTCGACAATTAGCTATTCCATGCAGCATCACTTGGTAAAGAAACTTTGGCCATAATGACTGGCACACCTACAGCTTAAACTGGTTAAACTGAAAATCCATTTCATCTGAAATTTAGGGCGAGGAACTATACCTATAGTTTCACTGGTCCTAAGCTCTTAGGAAGACTGTCATTGAGTACATCAGAATAAGACTATGCTGACAGCCACCTTAACGAGTAAGATCATTCTGACACAATGTGCTAACAGAGGCTCCTTTTTCTCAAAATGTCAGTTGTCACAGATTTTTTTTTGTTATAAAATATATTATTTACTAAACTGCCCCAAAAGTAATTTAAGTGATTTAGGATAACTATAACTAAAATAAAATATATAAATTCAGGATACAAATTTACATATAAATTTTAATGATTTTTAAAAAGTCCTAGAATGGCATGCTATTAACCTCCATTTTTTTTCTTAAATCCTCACCTGAGGATATTTTTCTGTTTATCTTCAGATAGAGTGGGAGGGAGAGAGAGGGAGAGAAAGAGACAGAGAGAGAAACATCAATGTGAAAGGGACACATTGACTGGTTGCCTCTTGCACAACACCAACCAGGGCCAGGGATGAACCGCAACCAAGGTATGTGCCCTTGGCTAGAATTGAACCTGCAACTCACTGGTCTGCGGGCTGACACTCTAACCACTGAGAAAACCAACCGGTCAGGTGTAACCTCCATTTTTATTGATGGGTTTATACTCGGTTCCAATATTAATCTACTAGTTTAAAAAAATTTGTAAGATAAAAACATTTTAAAGGGACACTAATATTTGTAAGTGATGTATGTCATTAAAATACTTATGAAAAGTGACTTACTTAATGTGTATTTTATCTCTTTACAAGAAATTCCACAGCATACTGGAAAATTTGTTTCTAGGTAAATAGGAAAAAAACTCTTAAGATAATGCCAGGCATGTTGTATTGAGACAATTTATAATCAAACTAGAGTTATAAAAACTATGGTTTAAAAAAGTATATCTGAAAGTATCTATTTTAATTTGAAGATTAACAGTTTTGTTCTCAATACATACTTTATTTCTTGACTTTCCTTTATACAATTACATATAAACTCCCATTTTTCTTCATTTGTTAGAAACGAAGAATTTTTTACTATCAGAATTTTAACTAAGCTTTAACACTGTATGAAGTAGAAAAAAAATACATCTTCATAATTTGCTGAAGATGCTCTAATATTTTTAAAAGCAGAAATTACGACTACTTCAAACTTTCTAGTCCTTTCTGATCCCCAGGCAGCATCTGCTTCAACAACGTTCTTATTCACAATGCAGAGTCGTAACTTCTGTCCCACCCCACAGCCACAGTCAAAAAACCTGGCTTCTATTAAGATTCAAAACTTGGCCTACTGCTTCACTGCTTCACTGTCTCTGGCCCTCCACTCACGGCCCAGAATACCGCTGAACTTCCCTAGACCTACTCTATGACAACTGCATGGATCTAATCTAGTACCAATTTTACCAGTACCAGGCACATCTATTCAGCCAGGTGTACTGGAGTCAGTCAGCACCTACCTAGAAAGTTGACTCTTAAATATTCAGGAATTTTGTGAACAGGTTGGTGGTAGCTTGAAATCAGCCATTGTTGGTGTATTTACACTTCAGACATTATAACCAACACTACAAATCAGAGCCTACTGCCCTTCTCCCAAACCTGGTTTACCAGCATGCTGCTCTTTAACTCCTGCCTATCTTCCTAAAGACTCAGTTTATACCAAAATCCATTCTGAAAATCATACACATTAGAATGCCTATGTCAACTCTCCCCTTTTATCTGGTTCTTAGGAAACAGAACCAGAAAAGTGACTTGCCCAAGTTTTCCACAGCTGGTTTTCAGTTGTGTTCTATCCACTCTATTGCTAGATAACTTAATCTACTTTACTGTCATTCACCCTACGACTCTCCATTGACTTTTCTCCTACCTTGTTTTCATTTATAGCTATCCTTCCAATAACTGTTTCTCTAAGAAAGAGCCCTTCCTTCCTTCCTAATCCTCACCCAATAATATTTTTCTAATGATTTTTAGACAGAGTAGAAGGGAGAGGAGAGAGAGAGAAACATTGATGTGAGAGAGATACATTGATAGGTTGCCTCCCACGTGACCCCAACCGGAGCAGGGGATCAATCCTGCAACCTAGGTACATATCCTTGACCAGAATCAAACCTGCGACCCTTCAGTCCGTGGGCTGATGCTCTAACTCCTAAGCCATACTGGCCTGGGTAAGCCATTTCTTTTTTAGGATGAATCTTTCTATTCTGTATTCTTGTTCTCTCAAGTATGGTCTCATTTATTATATTTTTATTCTCAACCTCAATTCCTTTCCTTACAGAGGCAAAAGACATAGTATTAAGAATATTTCCTTCAGCCCTGGCCAGTTTGGCTCAGCGGTTAGAGCATTGGCCTGCAGTCCAGAGAGACCCGGGTTTGGTTCCCACTAAGGGGGCACGTACCTTGGTTGCAGTTTGTCCCCAGCCCTGGTTGGGTCATGCAGAAGGCAGCCACTCGATGTGTCCCTTTCACGTCAATGTTTCTCTCTCTCTCTCTCCCTCCCACTCTATCTGAACAAAAAATGGAAAAATGTCCTTGGATGAGGATAAAAAAAAAAAAAGAATATCTCCTTCAGCTTCTAGCCTATTACTCCTACTAATTACCTTCTAATAGTTAAATGTAGTAGCTTCTCATTAACTTAGTATGCTTGGCCATTCTGTAGCTTGACACCGCTTTACTCTTATTATTTCCCTTCTTCCTTCCATTCTTGTTGCCAGGCCTTCTGTATTCCAAATGTGGGGTGATTTAGTAGCCAGTCTTCACCCCATTCTATTTTCATAGGAAGTGTGATCTTGAAAGGGCCTCTCTGATTTACTTACTAAGTGGTTCCATGACCTCTAGCATAGCTCTTTTTTGGCCTTCCCCAAATCTGTTGATTATACCATCACTGTAGGCACCAGGCCTTTATGACTTGAGATCTGGGTTTCTGATTTTACTTTGTCTATTTCTATACACCAGGGTGAAAAAAGCATTTCTAGAATAGGTCAGATAGTACATATTCTAAGCTTTTACAGGCCATATGGTGGTGTCTGTCACAACTATTTAACTCCACTGTTGTAGCATACCCACAGCATGCAAATAAGTGAGCACAGCTGTGTTCCAATATAACTTTATTTACAAAACAGGTAGCAGGCCAACTCATGTTTCTTTCTCATCATCAAACTGTGATATCACCCTTTTGATAGAAACAAAATATTTTAATGTCTCTTCAACTGTCTATAAAATAAAGTCTCAAATGCTTAGAAAAGGTTCTAACTCTCCAAAGTGATCTTAGACTATCTGGCAACATATGCTCTTTGTCCCTGAACACATCTCACACATATTCCTGATTTCTTTCCCACTCCCCACTTTGTTTACACACAGAATATGACTCAATACTACCACTTAAGTCCCAGCTAGAAGCATCTTGTATAACAGCCACTGATCCTCCCTACTTGAAACTTGTGGCGAGACTAGCTTTATGGTGCTACATTATTGTCCTGTCTGGAATACATAACATTTGAGAATAAAGACTATAGAGTTATACAGTCTCGTATCATGTATTAGAACCACGCTCACAGTTATTAGAGACTCAAATATAAAGTTCTTCAATGAATGTGCAGGAAATGTTCCTTAAAGAGTAAGAACTTTCTCTTAAGTGAAATTTATCCTGTAACTAATTGGTAGCTAACCCCTTTTTCCCAATGCAAGGGAAGATATGTAAGACTCCCTTCATCCCAGCCAAATTTAACTTCTTTGTATTTCCTATAAACTTTCTGAATCTCCCACTTCTCTGGATTCAGGCTAGTCATCCCCAGCAGGCTCTTTCTTTTCATGCTAACATATCCAAAGCTGAGAGTCCTGTCAAGCTCTGAACTGCTATTTCCTTCCAGAAGACTTCTCTGAGTCTCCTGAGTAAAAAAAAAAAAAAATACTTTTTAAAATTTATCTTTATTATTGAAAGTATCACAGACGTTCCCTCTTCTTTCCCCCATTGACGAATGTGAGCATAGCTGAATAAAAATGTAAACATGGTATTTATACTTTTCTACATAGAGAACTGTACTATTATTTTTCAGAATACTTATATCCTATCAATGGTACTCAGTAAATGATAATATAGCTGCCTACATGTATCTATCTAAAAAATACATTGGGAATCTCATATATTTCTTACTTGACTGCCCTATCACAAAGAGTTCACTGCCAGAGGTTGATATTCTCCCATTTCCTTATCTATGATTAAAGAAGAAAATGAAAACTGAATATGCTAATATAATACTAGGGCTAAAAATTTGAAGAAAACGTTGAGAATTACTGCTCTGTTAACTGCTCTGCTTGCTTTTAATGAATGCCATTAATAGATTACTAGAAAGTACATATGGGGAGTCTGGAACTGAAATTTTTTAAATTTGAAACTTGGGAATTATGTTTTTAATAATTCAACTGAACCAAACTTCAATCAATTTATGCTCCCACATATCTCACAACTGTAATTTATTGGAAAAGAATGATAACATTTGAGCTATTACAATTGAGGCAGCCTTTTCTTAACCTTGCTTGTATCTTAGGTGTGCCAGTCATCAAATACAGAACAGAAGAACATAATCAAATTAGATTAATTAGTAGATTAAAAAGCACATCTCCAAACAGAATGACAGTATGCATAACTGCGAATAGCATTTCGTGGATTGCAAAGGGTCCAACACTGCATGAACTC